AGGAGGTAATGATGCACAACAAGGCATACTGATAACAAAATACTGCTTGGAGAATAGACAGTGTCACAGGTCACTTTTCTTCTTTTTTTTTAGATGATTTTTTTAGAATACTTTTTTGTGTGGTTGCAAAGGGTCACGGTGGCGCCGGCCGGAGTGTGCAACAACTCAGAACTTCACTGCATCCTCAAGCGATGAACGCGCGGTCTGCTGCCGACGGGAGCGCGAGCGTTTCGACGCCCAAGCGCCGCGACTCGACCTGCTTCCTTCAGCTACACGGCGGCCTCCGAGCACGAACGGCTGCCTGCACGACGAGTCCTGCGAGGTCGGCCTCCCTACTGGTGCTATGACGAGGGGGCGTACCACGTGCCGCCCGGGCGCAGGCTGTCGTACGAGGTGGCTGTCTTGGTGGTGTTGGAGTGGTACAGGTGAAAGCTGGAGGGCGTGTAGAGGCCTGCTTGGTCCGTGAGCGGAGTGGAGTACGCGGAGGAGTCCAGCGGCACTCCGGACGACCCGTAGGAGTACACCTGTGGCTTGAGAGGCACTGGCTGGGCGGGCATGCCACCGCCCTCCCCCAGGTAGGTCCCCGACGCCCCCCTCAGGTCGCCACAATCCCCGGCCATTTTCTCTCGCGGGGACACGCTGGAGGGCGGCGTCATGGCGGAGTGGTAGTCGGGGTAGCCGGTGCCCGCCAGGCCTCCGCCGGGGTACGGGAAGTCGTGGCCCTTGTTGAACATGGTGTCCTGGTAGCTCTCGGAGCCGGGCGGCGTGGGCAGCGCCGAGCCCACGTCGGAGTAGTACGACCGCTGCACCGACGAGCGGATGACGCTCTCCCTGCTGGCGTACAGCTGCCTCAGCAGCGTGGACGCCGGGAGGCCTGCTGACGCCTGCTGACTGCTGGTGCCTCCGACGTACTGGATGGTGGGCCTCTGGCCTGCGCCTCCGCCCGCGGCAGACGTAGCGCCGCCCTTCAGCAGGGCGTCTGTCGAGAAGTCGGTGGGGTCGTCCGGCAGGTGTCTGGTCATCGCGGCCTCCAGGTCTCTGACGGTGCCTTCATCGCTCCTCGTGGGCGCGACGGTGGCTCCGGGCGACGCCTCCAGGGGAGTGGTGGTGAGCATGGGCGTGGCGCGGGCGTGCGGAGTCCCGGGCGTCGACACGGGGGGAGCGGAGTGCCGGCCCGGGGACGGCGCGCCCTCGCACCCTCCTCGAGACTCCTCTGCGATGTCAGCATTCACCATCGGAGTCAATAGGCCGCCAGGGGCCTGCAACATAGATCTCGTCAGACGGCGTGTAGGGGCGGCGGGCGGGGCGCCAGTGCGACGCCCGCAAAGAAAGCACAGCAGTGATTACTAACACATCTGAGCAACATCAGTGGCTCAACTAACATAAATATAATTCTAGAAAAAAAGAGAACTTCCGACACAAAGGTTAGTTGTGTTAGTACATTAGTAAGCACCGAGCCTTGTTAGCAATGGTTAGCATCAACGTCTAACTACCTACTTAGCGTATTACGAAAGCAAAATCCCTCTACCAGCCTCTAGCCTTCACGACTGTTCCCTTGCATTATCCTTGGCCTTTTGGGCGAAAGAAACTAAAACCACTTAGTAAACGGACCGTAAAAAATCCATTGGTTATGGGACAATAAAGAATGAACTGTCGTTGGATCAGAAGTAAACACAAACCATTATTTCATTCACACTGCGTAAGGTTTTATCTTTACGCTAAAAGAACAATTCAGTCATTTCGATATATCTTTAGTAGGTTTTAAGTTTCTTACAAAATGCTTTTTAATTCTATTTTTACTTGATTATCAATTTTAAAGAGAGATAAAATGCAAGGAAAGAATCACGTCCGCTAAATTTTGCTGAAGCCAGAGATCTCTTACACTTTTATTTTCCTTTTATTTACAAATTTATTTATTCAAATTTATCACATACAACTCTAACTTTGTTTTAGAAATTTAATCATAATTTTTTTCTTGAAGGAGTTTAGGCTTTATTCCTTTGAATGTTTAAATGAATGAGAAAAAAAGAAAGTTGAATCCAGTGTCTTCTTGGTTTCTTGTAATTAAACTAGTTAATCAAAACTCAATAAAATAATTTACTGTACGAGAAACAACAAAAAGACACTAAATAACCTACACCTTTGTAGTAAAGAGAAAAAGAGAAATGAAGAGAGAGGGAATGAGACAGGGAATGAGAAAGAGGGGAGA